AAGTTAATTATTAAATAATATAAATTTTATTTTTTAATATTTTAAATAACGTGACTTATATTACCTTATTCATCTTAAATTTGAAGTCTAAATTTTTTATCTTATTTACCATTATTCATTTATCAATCGTTGGTCTTATTTCCTCTAAAGCACAAAATAAAAATCCATAAAATTCAACGTAAGTTGCAATACATGCAATAGCATTATGACCATTATCCTTTTCTTTCATCTGTTGTTTTCTAGTGTCAATTTGCAACTGACCAACATGTTTGTATGAGGCAAAGACAATTGAATGTGGCAGCTACCGGCTTGTTTTACGCCTCTGCAATACATGTGTCTTTACCCTGTTGTCGGGTGAATGTTAAATATTCAGCAGACAGCTAAAACTGCATCCATGTGATTCCCATTTTCCACTAAATTCACAACCCCTTCGCACCATATCAATCACTTTCATTACACCGATATTTTTGTTCCACAAACTTGTTCAGATTTAGTGCTGTCGTTTTGAGAAATTTATTACTACTCCTTATTAATATCTCAGTGTGTGTATAGGTGTGTTTGGCATTAATTTTGATTTGGTTTCTGGTTTTCCACTTTTGAGGAGTGGAAGCTGAACCACATGGTTTGTTTGTAAACGGACTGGTCCAATACTCTGATCTGATCAGTAATGTGTTTGGGTACGGAAAAAATCCAATTGCAGAACCCCAGGAATTTATTAAATTGGTTTTCCTGTTAGAAGGATTTTAGGTCTCTGCATTTATTGTTTGATGATCCCACTCCAGTTCAGTAAGATAGTAACCAATCAAGCTATGTCCTAAATCAAGGTGGCATAAGCTTTATGAGTGAGTCCCGGCGCAAGTTTATATATCTGCTTCATATATTTTGTTATTCATTTGTTATTCATTTAGTGAATTGAATTTGTTTATTTGTAATATATATTGATTTTTTTTTTTCCCGACATTTGAGTATCAAGTTACAATGTTATACAATAACTGATAATCCTTCTTTTATTTTTTGAGGTAAAGAAAGTGACTGTTGTTTTTGAAAGGTTAAAAAGACCAAAATAAACCTTGGGGAATTGGGCACACATGTTGATTCATTAAGAACATGTTGGTCTTTTTCTTTTACCCTGGACTGGCATTAGACTGAAAAACGGCATACTTTAATGCATTTTTCATTAAAGGCTGTTAACAGGGTTACAAGTTCCACTTATTTTGAATTGTTCATCAAATAAAAAATGGATTGCTTGCACTTGGACCTCACGATCTAATGACTATATGTCAAATTATAAGGTGCATCTCTCAACTTAAATGTTAGGATTTGAATCTCTCACCTCCAATTATAAACTGATTCAAAAATAATAATAACAATAAAAAATGGATTGCTTGCACTTGGACTTCACGATCTAATGACTATATGTCAATTTGTAAGGTACATCTCTCAACTTAAAGATTATGGTTTGAATCTCTCACCTCCAATGAGATTATAAACCGATTCAAAAATAATAATAACAATAAAGAATGGATTGCTCAGGTCATGCCCAATACAATATCCCACTTATTTTGGCCCATTCCCAATGCTATTTTTTTCCTCTCATATAGAAACCCAATGATACTTGTGGTTGTGGGGGTAGCATTTCCAACGATGACCACTGATAATTGATTTTGTTGGGCTTTGCCCCGTTGTATACCAACCAAAAAAAAAAAAAGAAAAAAGGAAAGAAAGAAAACAAGCCCAATGATACTTGAGGTGACCAATGGCTCGAAGCTCACATTGTATGGCCGAACGTAGGATTTGTAAGAAGAAGAAACAAGACAATTCAGATGAAGTTTATGCTGATCTTTTATATACATATTGTTAACTAAAAAGTATTGTGCAGTTTAAACTGATATAAACTGCACAATTATAATCATTAATGGGAAAGACTCTCTAAATATGAAGCCTTCCCCCACGAAAATTGATGGTTAATTTTCCGTAGAAAGTAGCATTAATTCTCAATTGTTATTTCTCCAAGTCATTACAACAGGATATGTACACATCATCACTACCACTAATTTCTTATGTGGAGTAAAAATCTCTACTAACATAAGATTAATAACAATAATATTTTGTTATTTTTTTCTTGTCCATTATGCCGATGGTATTGTTAATCCATATGAGAAGACTAGATGTTTAGTACATGTTTACACACAAGAGGGATGTTATGCGAGAACATCTCACAAGATCAATCAAAGGAAACTTATTGATTTAAATATAATATCGATCATTCATGTATTAATGTCAATTAATTTTAAATTAAATACATTTATCAATCAATTGCTGATATTGAAATGGCTAAACTTGATGAGGTGCTAATTTGGTGATGACTTAGACATGGATTAGCTTGAAAGTATCATATATGGTTTAATCTTAATTAACTTGAACTAATATTAATGTTAAATACGTAATTAACCATGTTGAAATTAGCAGTTGATCCAACTAATTAAAACCTCAAAAAAGTTGCAAATGTGAATCAATATCATAAAGCCGGTCCACATTGCAATGATGGTACTAATTAATTTTGGACCCCTCCACTACTAATTACAAATTACTCGTTAACATCTAATTAAATTAACAGTTTTTGTCTGCCACAACTGAATAAATCATCTTACTCCTCAACTGAGAATTGTAGGAATCAATTCAGGCATGAAGAGACACAAGCAATTACAAGGGTCTTGATTTCTCAATGAAACTCCACAAATTCTTCCAATCACAGCTGTGCAACTACTGCTGGACAAAGTGACTTGCCAAATTAATTCAAAACCAATTTAGTTGGGTTTTCATCATGCATCACCCAAACTTAATTCAATCGACTCATAAAGAATTCTTCCAATAATCATAATATAATAAATGGATAAATGTATATCCATTCATGTATTAAAAAGTAAAACGAGTATTATCTGTTATATGATTTTATAGTAAAATTATATATATTTTGAGTCATAAGTTTAACATTTAATTCTTTATTTTTATATATTATAAAATTAAAATTATTTATACTTAAAATAATAAAATTTTATTATGAGATAAGATTATGAGTTAGTAAAATATTTTCTAAAATAATTAAAGACTAATCGAAATTGTTTGCAAGTACTGAGGTGACAATGGTGGTGGCCATGTATATAATTTCATTTTGAGGAGCCTAGGTGGCAGACACGCTGGACCCCAGATCATCAAACTGGTCAGCAGAGATTATACACATCCTCAAAATAATGATTATAAAGTGGCAAAAATTGAAGGTTCCCACTTTCCCAAAGGGGTATGGAATATGTAGAACAGAATCATGGAAAGTGTAGTCTTGGAAAGCATCATTTTTGGTTTGGAATTCAGAGGGGGTCTTTAATTTGTTACCAAAGCTCCCACTTTATTCACCAAAAAAATATGCTCCCACTTTCGACGGCCGGATATCAGTCATCAATTTTTTCAAGGAGGAGTAATTTGCTTTAGAATTTTAAACATAGTTGTTAGGTATTGAATCTAATGAAATAAATTAAATATGTTAAAATATTATTATAAATAATAATAATTAATTATATTTAAATAACTAATTCAAATACCTTTAGCTCGTATATTCAAATATATTCTTAATATATTTCACTTAATTTGATTTCAATTCTAGGGATTTTATTTTATCATAGAGTGTTTTGTAAGGACTAGTGATACAAAAAATAAAATTTTGAGGCAAAAAGTTGGCATTGAAAATATAATATAAATTATGTTATTAAATAAATTAATAAAAAAAATGAATATTAATTTTGATTACTAAAAAAAATTAAAGTATTAATCTTAAATTATATTGTTTTATTTTATTAAAATTTAATTTAAAATTTAAAATTTTATCTTATTAAATATTAATATTTAAATTTAAAAATTAATTAAAAATTTT